AGAAACTCACATGGTCTAGCTGAAGCAAAAGGGCATTTTTTTGCTTACTTAACCAAACTGCAGGAAGAGCTGGAATGAGGTGGGTTTTAAGGACGTTCATAACCAGGGACTTGAAACAAAACTGCCTGCCCTGTGTGGCTCCCTGCTCTGTCTCCCTACCTTTTCTCTCTTGGTGTTGGCTTAATTTTTGTCTTACTACTGAGAGGCTTCCTTCACATGGAAGGGGACGTGACTGTGGTCATGGCCAGTCTGTAGACATCTTTACAGCTGTGATCTGAGAGAAAACAGGATTCTTTTCCCCAGTTTGAGTTTGACAGATCCCTGGGAAGAATGCTCCCTGGCCTAGCCTAGGTCATGTGTTCGTGACAGTTCTAAGGGGTGCGTGATAGGCTCAGCTTGTGTCACATGCCCAGGGAGGTCACACAGATTGATATACCCTGAGGGAACTGCTATATACAGATGGATACAGCAGTTTTCATGCATTTTTAGTCTATATAGGACTCAGTTTAAATAACTAGTTAAGATTCTTTCCCTAATTCATTGAAAATCTTGTACAGTCTTCGTTGATGCTGGTGCCTGTAATCCCGGCTACTCAGGAGGCTGAGGTGGGGAAACTGAATATTCACAGTGGCCTGTGAATAGCCTTTACTCCAGCCTGAGCAATGTAGTAAGACCCTGTCTCAAAAAAATAAAATGAGGCGGGGAGCAATGGCTCATGCCTATAATCCCAGCACTTGGGAAGCCAAGGTGGGCAGGTGATCTGAGGTCAGGAGTATGAGACCAGCCTTGGGAACATGGCGAAACCCCATCTCTACTGAAAATATAAAAATATAAAAATTAGCCAGGCATGGTGGTGGTGCCTGTAATCCCAGCTACTTGAGAGGCTGAGGCAGGAGAATTGCTTGAACCCAGGAGGTGGAGGCTGCAGTGAGCTGAGATTGTGCCACTGCACTCCAGCCTGGGCAGAGTAAAACTCTGTCTAAAAAAAAGTCATTTGTTAGTTTTGGACTTTACAACAAGTAGACTTGAGGTTATATTTCTATTTTACTCTGTTTTTCCATAGGAACCCAGACTAGCACCTTATGCTATAGTGTGTTCTGAAAAACTATGGTTGACTGAGTGAACCAGTGGAATTAACATATCAAGGCATTGAAACATGCAGCTTTATTATTATTTTTTTTAGAGATGGGTCTTGCTCTGTTGCCCAGCCTAAGTGTGCAGTGGTACAATCATAGTTCTCTGCAGCCTTGAACTCCTAGGCTCAAATGGTCCTCCTATGTCAGCCTCCTGAGTAGCTGGGCTTACAGGTGTGTGTCACCATGTCCAGCTAACTTTTTATTATTTATAGAGATGAGGTTTCCCTATATTGCTCAGGTTGGTCTTGAACTCCTGGGATCAAGTGATCAGCCCACCTTGGCTTCCCAAAATGTTGTGATTACAGATATGTTCCACTGTACCCAGCAGAAACATACAACCTGAGATGACAGGGATCCCAGAATCCATCTACCTTCAATAGTTTCAGATATAATATGGGGTCTCTCAAATCTAAGGATCCAGTAGTAAAGGAGAGTAAATACTTTTTCACATTTCTAAATACCGGGAAGGTCCTTCATTTCATGGAACTTAGATTTACATGAAGAAAATCTTACATGCTAACTAGAAAGTCAAGTTTCTTTTTGATTTTTGCCTGAAGTTGTATCAGTATAGAGCTTATCTTTTAAGAATGGGCTAACTCATGAATGGATCTGAAGCTCTGATTGTCAATATATAAGTAATTTAAAAAACAAGACAAATTATTAGTAAATGATGTTGATCTGTTGGGGAAAGTAAGTGAAAGCAGTTCTTGGGGCTGAAAATGCTGAGAAGAGCATCCATCCTGGCTAAGAGCTCAGTCTTCATAGCTTCCAATCCCAGCACTCCCCTCGCAGCTTTATAACTTGTGCAAGCTGCTGTTGTTACCTTTTTGAGACAGTCTCACTCTGTCATCCAGGCTGGAGTGCAGTGGTGCAATCCTAGTTCACTGCAACCTCTGCCTCCTGGGTTCAAGCAATTCTCCTGTCTCAGCCTCCTGAGTAGCTGGGATTACAGGCAGCACTACCATGCCCAGCTAATTTTGTATTATTCGTAGAGATGGGGTTTCACCATGTTGGCCAGGCTGGTCTTGAGCTCCGGACCTCAAGTGGTCCATCCGCCTTGTCCTCCCAAAGTGCTGGGATTGCAGGCATGAGCCATCACAGCCAGCCTGCCAGAGCTCTTTTAGCCTCAAATTCTTCAGCTATCAAAGGAAAATATCTACTCATTTTTTTTTGGTAGGTATTGAACAAAAGTTAAATATTTTTAAAATGACTTTTTAAAAAATTTAAATGATACATTTTTATTGTGGTAAAATAAACATCGCCTTTACCACCCTAACCTTTTTTTTTTTTTTTTTGGAGACAATCTCTATTTTGCCCAGGCTGGCATGCAGTGGCACAGTCTCAGCTCACGGCAACCTCCGCCTCCCAGGTTTAAGTGATACTCCTGCCTCAGCCTCCTGAGAAGCTGGGATTACAGGCACGCACCACCACACCTGGCTAATTTTTGTGTTTTTAGTAGAGATGGGGTTTCACCATGTTGGTTAGGCTGGTCTCAAACTACTGACCTTGTGATCTGCCTGCCTCGGCCTCCCAAAGTGCTGGGATTATAAGCATGAGTCACTGTGCCCCGCCTAACCGTTTTTAATCATGCAGCTCAGGAGTATTAACTACATTCATGTTGTGCCATCACCACCATCTATCTTCAAATGCTCGTTGTCTTGTGAAACAAACTCTGCACCCAGTAGACTCCCCATTGCCCACCTCCCATCCCCCGGCAACCACCATTCTACACATAGTTACTTATTAGAAAATAAATGTTAAGATCTCAAAAAATGTCAGCTATTGTTCCTCTTGATCAGGAGTCAGCAAACTCCAGCCCACGAGCCAGATTTGGTCAGTAATCTGTTTTGGTAGGGTCCTTGAACTAAGAAAGGCTTTTACAATTCTAAAGGGTTTTAAAAAGAAAACAAAAAATAAAGAAGAATATGCCTCACAGGCAGTATGTGGCCCGTAAAACCTAAAATATATTTATTATCTGGTCCTTTAAGAAACGGGTTTTTCTCACCCCTGCTGTAGATCTAATCTTTTTTCATCAGGGAGTCCTTTAAGATTTTGATTATTCTGGTAGATATCTTTTAAAGATACAAGAAAAAATAAAAGATTTTGATTAAAAAATTTTATATGTAGCTTTCCACATGTCTTAAGATGGTTCTGTGAATGTCTTGTCTAAACCAGGATCTCTCAGTGGGGCCGGGTTGCCTCCAAGGGACTGAGCACTGGTTCTTGGGGGGAGTGAAATCTTAGCTGCTGTAATGACTTGCAGCCTTTCAAAGGACACAGTGCATCAGCAGATACATAGTATATCTGTGGTATTAACATTTCTTGGCTGGGGTGGGGGTGGTGGTGGTAGTGGGTGGTAATGGAGAGGTTTGAAAAAAGAAAGTTTAATTAGGCAGGGGAGCAATAATGAAAAATAAGTTTGAAAAACACTGCTTAAAACTGAATTCTGGAACAGGACATTTATCTTAACCTCTCAATGCACCTGCATTTAGCAGAGAATTGAGAACATTTTCTTCAGTCTATTAAATGTGTTATGTAGTTGAATGAAGGAAACCTTAGGTCTACTTCAGTGACCAATTCAGTCTAGAAATGGCTTACACAGTGAATTCTACACCCTGGAATTAATTAATTAATTTATTTTTAAAGAGGCAGGGTCTCACTTTGTTACTCAGGCTGCAGTGCAACGGCCCCATCGTAGCTCACTGTGGTCTCAAACTCCTGGGTTCAAGCGATTCTCCTGAGTAGCTAGGACTACATGCCATCAGGCCCAGCTAATTTTTTTTATTTTTATTTTTAGAGGCAGAGTCTGATATGTTGCCGAGGCTTGTCTCAAACTCCAGGCCTCAAGTGATCCTCCTACCTTGATCTCCCAAATTGCTGGGATTATAGACACGAGCCACCACACTCTGGACATTTTATTTTTTAAAAACGTCTTTTAGATCCTTTGGAAGCTTGTCAAATGCTTAGTCTCCCTGATATATCAGACAGATGCTTCTTGCCTGTTAGACTAGAATTCTTTTTTTTTTTTTCAAAGCGCTTGTTATTGACACAGTAAAATGAGTGTCTAAGTGCTGGGGTATAAAGATCCCTAACCCGAAAACTCCATGTAATCCATGTAACCTCCTCGCAGTCATGTCAACTCTTTCATTAATTTTTTTTTTAAGAAGGAGTCTCACTCTGTCGCCAGGCTGGAGCACTATGGTGTGACCTTGGCTCACTGCAGCCTCTGTCTCTCAGGTTCAAGCAATTCTCCTGCCTCAACCTCTTGAATAGCTGGGATTACAGGTATGCATCACTATGCCTGGCTAATTGTATTTTTAGTAGAGACTGGGTTTCACCATGTTGGACAGGCTGGTCTTAAACTCTTGACCTCAAATGATCTGCCCTCCTTGGCCTTCCAAAGTGCTGGGATTGCAGGCGTGAGCCACCATGCCCTGCTCATGTCAATTTTTTTTTTTTTGAGACGGAGTTTCGCTGTTGTTACCCAGGCTGGAGTGCAATGGCGCAATCTCGGCTCACGGCGACCTCCGCCTCCTGTGTTCAGGCAATTCTCCTACCTCAGCCTCCTGAGTAGCTGGGATTACAGGCACATGCCACCGTGCCCAGCTAATTTTTTGTATTTTTAGTAGTGACGGGGTTTCACCATGTTGACCAGGATGGTCTCGATCTATTGACCTTGTGATCCACCGACCTTGTGATCCACCTGCCTCGGCTTCCCAAAGTGCTGGGGTTACAGGCGTGAGCCACCGCGCCCAGCGGCAATTTTTTTTGTGGGGGAAGAGAACCATATTTTTTTATTTGAAGAACTGGTACACAGAACTTAAGTGGTTGTTTTGGTACAACTTGTAGAAAAGGTGAAGGAAACCCCAACATGCATGCACTGCCTTGGTGACCAGGGAAGTCACCCCATGGCTATGGGGAAATTAGCCTCAGACTTAGCTTTCATTGTCACCGTCTCCCCGGGTGTGCTTGTCAAAGAGATATTCTGCCAAGCCAGATTGGGGTGCTCCCATCTTGCACAAGTTGGCCGGGTGGTCACCCAATTCTTTGATGGATTTCACCTGCTCATTCAGGTAATGTGTCTCAATGAAGTCACACAAATGGTGGTCATGTTTGTCAGTGGCCAGTTTGTGCAGTTCCACTAGTGACTGATTCACATTTTTTTCCAAACGTAAAGCACACTCCATCACATTCAGCCCGCTCTCCCGGTCATCATGGTCTGGTTTCCTGATATCCCAAAGGAAGACGCGGCCACCTCGGTGGTTCTGCAGCTTCATCAGTTTCTCAGCACGGTTCCCTCTCCTCATGAAATTGGTGAAGAAAGTATTTGGCAAAGTTCTTCAAAGCCACATCATTGCGGTCCAAGTAGTAAGACGTGGACAGGTAGACATAGGTGTAGAGCTCCAGGTTGATCTGGAGGTTGATGGTGGCCTCTGAGTCCTGCTGGTAGTTCTGGCGCACCTGCGAGGGGGATGTGGTCATGGCAGTAGCTAAGGAGAGGCAGTGCGGCGGGTGTGGTGGCAGTTGCGCGCCATGGTAGTAGCTATGCGCGGTGCTGGAGTGGAGGCAGGGGCCTTGAGGTGGTCTGAGGGTACGGTGTAGAGCTGACCTAGGACTGGCTATGGGCGGCCAGCTGTGGTGGGGGACGAGTGCCAGGTTCCCTCCAAGCACTGTTGAAGCAGCAAACTGTGTCAACTCTTACTTGAAAACACAGGTATATCATGATCTTACCTGAAAAATTAAGTCTGTTTTAGAATACATAAATTTTGATAGCAGACCACTGAAATGTCCAGAATTTAGGTTATCCTTACTTGCCTCACAGCCACAGACTGTCTTAGGCATCTCTGTCTCCCCAGTGCCTCGCACACAGTAGGTGGTTAGTGAATGCACCTCTGGGACTGGCCGTACTGGTGATATTTCTGCAAATGCCCAGTGTACCCTCGAGTCCTTCCTCCTTACAATTTTTCTTTGGCCCAGCTTGCCCTCTCTCACAGACCCATTCCTGTACACACAGCTTGACTTGGTTTCTGCTGCCAGTTGGCCTTTTCACCACTTTTGTGGGGTTTGATGATGATGAATAGCAGGGGATCACTGGGACAGCATTCACTGCATGGGGAAGGTGTTCACAGCATGAGCAGTGCTGATGCAGTAGTACCCAGCCCTGTGGCTGCCCAGACGGTAGTGTGTGGAGGGTGGAGGGTCCCTAAAGAGCACTGGCAAGGATTCTGCCTCCTGCTGTGCTGGCGGTGGCGTTTGACAGGAGGGATGTTCATTCCAGTCAGTGCTGAGGAAACTTAATAGAGATCCAGCAGGTCAGTGTTCCTCAAATATCTCTTCTGAAATTCTCTTCAGAGCAGGATGTGCCAGGGGATGGAGGAGATCTCGACCAAAGTGACCTCTGTAAATGCAAAGCTTGTCTCCTGCTTTATTTATTTCCTTACTTATTTTATTTTATTTTTTTTTTGAGACGGAGTTTCGCTCTTGTTACCCAGTCTGGAGTGCAATGGCACGATCTCGGCTCACCACAACCTCCGCCTCCTGGGATCAGGCAATTCTCCTGCCTCAGCCTCCCGAGTAGCTGGGATTACAGGCACGCGCCACCATGCCCAGCTAATTTTTTGTATTTTTAGTAGTGATGGGGTTTCACTATGTTGACCAGGATGGTCTCGATATCTTGACCTCGTGATCCACCTGCTTCGGCCTCCCAAAGTGCTGGGATTACAGGCTTGAACCACCGTGCCCGGCCTTCCTTACTTATTTAAAGATGGAGTCTCACTCTGTTGCCAGACTGGAGTGCAGTGGTGTGATCTCAGCTCACTACAACCTCTGCCTCCTGGGTTGAAGTGATTCTCCTGCCTCAGTCTCCGAGTAGCTGAGATTACAGGCATGTGCCACCACACCCGGCTAGTTTTTTGTATTTTTAGTAGAGATGGAGTTTTACCATGTTGGCCAGGCTGGTCTTGAACTCCTGATCTCAGGTGATCCGCCTGCCTTGGCCTCCCAAAGTGCTGGGATTACTGATGTGAGCCACCTTGCCTGGCTGTTGTTTATTTAATTTTTAAAAATTTTAAAATATTAACAAAGATTGTGTATGTTTTTCATATGTATGTATAATAATGTGTTTCTGGCAAGGTACTCTACTATATGTTTGCTTTAATGTAAAAATATCAAAAAGTATTTTAAAACTTCACAAGAGGTCGATGTTCCATGAAAATGTGGTATCCTTTGTAATAAACTTGGGGGAAAACGTACTACACTCATCCTGCATCCCCAGCCAACCGCTCTGAATCCCTGGGGGGTCTTACATCATAGATGGAGAAGCATAGCTCAGCTACAAATAGGTGCTAACCACTTCAGCCACTCAGGCCTGGGAAGTGGAGGTCTGTTTGTACATCAGGTGATAAAGACAGTGAGGTACAGAGGCAACGACCTTTGGCTGGTGACGAAGTAACAGCTCTTGTAGATTTTTTCTGGTTTATGTTCTGGAGTTTGTAATCACCGTGGGGTTGGAATCCCTGGGAACCCTTTGTCCTGCCCTCAGGGGTGAGAATTTCACTTTTGCTGATCTTAGCAGTCACGGTGGCTTTCCACCACCTTAAGTCCTTCTTCACCTCTGTAGAGCTCCCTGTAACTCTGGAGAGGCTGAACCCATTCTTCTTCCTGAAGGCCACTGTGGAGTTAGACCGTCTGTGACCTTAGCAGAGGCATCAATCTGTTTTCAGTAAGAGTCCAGATGTTTTGAAACCTGTGTAGTGAGGAGCGCATTAACTTTTATTACTGTTCATGGAACAAGAGGGACCACTCTGGGTTTGCAAGTATCTCGTGTGTCTCAACTGTGAATCATATATTTGATAATCTTTAATCGCATCATTGTCCTTTTATCCATAAACCTTCATAAATTGTCTAGTTTCGCCATATTCTAGTGGAATTAAACTTGAACTAAAAACTATGTAATTAATCAGAACTACTAATTGTGTTAGTAACTTGCTAACCCAAGGCCCACAGCTGACAGGTGGTTAATCCCTACTACATAACGTCTTCATATGTGTCCTTTAAGATGGAGTTTAAAAAGGTAACCTCCACAAGACTTTGGGAGAACATCTCAGGTGGGTGTTATTTGGTGACCACGCTAGAAAGCCAGTGACTCCCACCTCCCAGTCCCCACCCTGGGATCCTGGTGTCCTTCATGTCGACTCTTCTCTATGCAAGCCCTGTACCCTGTGCGTCTCATGCTGTGACATGTTCTAGCCACTGTGTGGACACAGTCATGCAGCTATTTTCAGATAAGGCTACTGTAGGTATGCCCGTTAATTTACAGTGCGTGCTCACAGTTGATAAAATTACTAGGAATAACTATTTTTTGGTGACCGCCTTGTAAGTGCCATGGTGTAGTGGAAAGCCCTTTTCAGTGTCTCAGAATTAGTGGGTGGTAATATAACTTCTATGTGTAAATGAATGAGTTTCTTGTACATGGTACATTAGAGAACACCACGCTCAAAAGGTTAATTTGAAGTAGAGATAGTCAGTGAAACCTGTCTTAAGATTATCCGAAGCCAACATATGATGCTTCTGGTCTAGTTGAATGTCAGTGTGATGGAGAGGAAAAGGGGTAGGTTTTGGAGTCATGGATCAATGTTAGAAATTAGCTGTGGGATTTTAAGTGAGTTTTAAATATCTTCCACCTGTCGTTTTCTCATCCAAGAAAAGGGAGTTGGGGGCTAATAATTCTCTACATCATTAAAAATTTCCTGGGACATTAAGTTCCTGGCACAAAGAGGGTGTTTTTAACAGTACTCACTACTGGGGCAATCTCTTCACTCTTTTCTTCCTGAAAGAAGGGAGGAGTTATCTTACTCTACTGAGTCAGGGTTTAAATTTAGCAAGATCTCAGAGCCAGTACATATGTTTTAAATGGTTATGGGAAATATGCCTTCTATTTGAAATGAGCTCTGCTTGATTCATATTTTTTATACTATATATGTATTCTGCCCAATTCTAAAAAATATTTCAAGTAGCCAATTCACTTCTTAATCATACTATAAACTCCCAGGACCTCATCCCACAAATGCAGCCCTGGTTAGAACTATTCAAAGAGCCTTTGCTGCTTCAAACCCACTAACCCCATTTTGCACATTTCCCAAAAGCAAACACACTCATGCATACACACACACACATGCACACACATACACACACAAAACTTGTGACCCAACTTTTGGGAACAATGTTAAAGCAAACAAACAAAATTCTTAGAAAGTTGTGATGTGCTTAAAATAGTTGAATTTTTAAATGATTGAGGAACTTTTCCCATAAGACTTGGTGCTTGCTGCTATAAATAGAGGCATGTATATGTGTCCAGAGACGCTTCTCTGTAGTCACAATGCTTAAAATTTGAAACATGCTGCAATAAACATCTTTGTAATATCCACTTATTTATGCTTATGGATTTCTTTAAGAAGTCAGTATTACTTTAATATCCAGGATCCACCGGTAACCTTTTAACCCTGTTAACACCAGACCTTTAAAATGAGTTTAACTTCACAAAGCCTGTAAGTCAGGTTGAGAATATTCCACATGAAAAGCGAGAATATTCCACCTGAGAAGCTTCCAGGTGTCACTTACCTTTACAAATGGAATTTTTCAGCCTATTATTCAGGACAGACAACTAGATTCTCCCTTTTGTCGCAGCTCCTCAGACACTGTTTACATGTCACTAGGATATTTCTAATGTGTTATCATGGTTGAAGCTGGGAGATGGATACATAGTATTTGTTTGCTTTTGTATTTGTTGAATTTTGCCCCAATAAAAACAGACTTTTTTTTTTTTTTTGAGACAGAGTCTCTCTCTCTGTTGCCAGGTGCCAGGCGCAATCTCGGCTCACTGTGCAACCTCCGCTTTCTGGGTTCAAGCAATTCTCCTGCCTAAGCCTCCCGAGTAGCTGGGACTACAGGCTTGTGCCACCATGCCCAGCTAGTTCTTGTATTTTTAGTAGAGACGGGGTTTCACCATGTTGGCCAGGATGGTCTCGATCTCTTGACCTCGTGATCTGCCCACCTTGGTCTCCCAAAGTGCTGGGATTACAGGCGTGAGCCACCGCACCTGGCCGAAACAGACATTTTAAAAAATGCAGAACAGCTGGCAGAAATCATCCTTAATCTACTTTATGTTGAGAATAGGGCGTTAGTATTTTTTTTTTTTCTAGTCTATTTCTTGGGTTGTTCAAGGCAAGGTATTGGAAAAGTTAAAAAACTCAAATAATTGGATTTTAGATCCCTAAAGTATACATATTATTTGAATTCTAATGTTTCTCCTGAGAATTTCTAACCTGAAGCTGCCTAAAAACTGCCTTAAAATGTTGATAGGTATTATATTTAAATATGGCAGTGTGGCAAATATGGTGTAATTGAAATAATAGAGGACCTGGAATCACAAGATGTGA